TACAACAATGCACGCAGAGGCGACTGCAGGAATGAACTCTCATTGCAGGTACTTACACAAAAAGCGCTCTGATATCCAAAGTCACAAAAAAGTCGCCTGTTCAGGTTTAATCCGTGTATTGAACCAGTGTTCCAGATTTAGATATAAATATATAAACACATATGTACAACACACAAATATACGTAGAAGCACACACAATACACGCACACGTCTTTTCTACCACAAAGCTGTGTAACCACACACACACACTCGTCACACTACTTGTATCAACTGCCTGTAAGCATTGTATTGCCTTACAACAATGCACGCACAGGCGACTGCAGGAATGAACTCTCATTGCAGGTACTTACACAAAAAGCGCTCTGATATCCAAAGTCGCAAAAAGTCGCCGAATTTTTTATTTCACTAATTTTCCTAAAACTTATATTACTGTCAGATGCAAAAATCAGATTGGACAAATTTGAACATTTTTACTTATACTTATTTTAATTTTTTCTACATAGTAAGTTTATCTACAATCTATGATATTTGCATATAAATAATTATATTTTAGCTCATTTGTGGCACAGTGCAGCAGTGGGCCGGATGAACTGACCTGGCAGGCCGGATCCGGCCTTCTGGCCATATTTTGGTGACCCCTGGCATAAGCAAAGAACAATTGATGATGAGTGGAAAGCAGGTTACTTTTGGTGATAGGTTAGCATGCATAAAAGAAGCAAGCATGTGCAGATGCCTAAAAAATGCAAAATTGATGCAAGTGGTAAGTCTGAAGGCTTATAAAGCTAAGTACTGGTTTTCAACGCTCATAGTTACGTATAGGAAATATAGCCCATGGTGTAGTTGTATGCATAACTTTTGAAAAAATAGCAAGAATATAGGAATGGTAGCCAAATGATGTGGTGAAGAAACCATTTTCCTGGAATACCTGAAAGGGTGTTAGCAGCATACCAAAAAATTGAGAGTGCAGACGAATTCAAGTATGATATAGTGAAATTGGCTATTTTAGAAAAGTACGAGTTAAAGCTCGAGACACCTCGCAGAAAGCACAGAGAGTTGCAAAAAATCGAAAATGAGACTTTTAAAGAGTATGGAACAAGGTGGCGTGAGTTGCTAGTCAAAATAAATCAAAGCATTTAACTATACTGGAGACGTTGAAAAGATTGTAAATTTGATGTTGCGAGAATAATTTCTTGCAAAATTACGAAAGCATTTAGTAATATGGTTAAGACATAGTGTTGGATATACAAGACCAGCCAGTTTAATAGTTATTATTTTGTTTATTTAGCGTTTTAGTATTTATTGATTATTTAGTTTTCATAACAAGAGTGTTAAAAAGTAATTATTTTAAAAGCAATAGTTACGACAAGTTTCATTATGTAACTCTGTATGAGTCGTAGTTGTGTATGTAGTTTAATTGTTGTACGAGCATTTTGTAATATTGTTGACATCATCTTACTCGAAGCTTCTAATTTTTTTCACGTTATGCTTAATATTATTGTTAATAGAGGGCTAGATATTTCTAGTCTTTTCTGTCGCGTGTTATAAATACTTCCAGATAGAGAAGTTGTCACTCTAGATGTAAGGGCGATTTCTAAAATGAAAGTTTCATAATTTATATTGTAGCAACAGTGGTTGAGACGAATAATTCATCTTGTCAACTGGGTTCTAAAGTAATTGAACCAGTCTGTTTGGACTTTTGACGTAAAATAGAATTATTTAGAGCTCTGAATACAACCGTAGTAACCCAGGGGGTAACGCGAGTGATTTTATCACTTATTGGATTGTGATAACAAAGCAGAGAAGAAATAATTCGCCTTGTCATTTGAGTTCTAAAGTAATTGAACCAGCCTGTGTGGACTTTGACAAAAAAAAAGAGAATTATTTAAAGCTCTAATTTCATCTGTGGTAACCAATGGTGCAAGAAATTATTTTTTTTTCACATTTGACTTGTTTTGAATATATATCATTTTAAAACAAGTGAATTGTGTGCTGTCCGTTTATTGTCGACATTTATCGCCAACAAATCACAGACACCTATTGTAAAGAATCGTAGCCCACATAAAACCAAATATAAGCGAACAAGCCAGGATGATACATTGGTAAACGGCAGTGAAAAAAAGACGTGAACGACTGTGAAAGTAAGTCTACACATATGCACAACTGTAGTGGTGGCGAAGATAGTGTAGATATTACAATCGCACTATATAATCATGTCAGCTGATTTTGATAAATGCATAGAGAGAGGTGAGCAACTTGGGCTAAAATATACCAATCTACAAGAGTTTGTTAAACAAAAAGAAGATCTAGCGAGAGAAGAGCATAGGCGGAGAAGAGAAGATGAAAGAATGAAAGGAGAGACTGCCAGAGAGAACGAATAAACCGAGAGAGAGGCGGAGGAAGAAAATAATATGCTGCTAATAAGAAACAAAACCTTATTTCTAAATCTATGTGTTATTCATTACGAGTAATAAACAGAAATTTCCTATGTTTAACAACGGTATGACTCAATTTCTGATAGAAATAAATACATCCTAAAATAAAATTGATGTAAATAAGGAGTGATAGAGAAGTGTGAGCATAGCACGACTGTAACATTAAAGATATTGAAAAATGCTTAAAACCGTCAATTAGTCTTTATGAGAGTACTACTAATTCATTATGTTTTAGAAATATACTTCCACATGTAAGTTAGAATGAGACATCCAAAGTAATCATACAAAATAGAAATAAATTTCTTTAATGTGTGATTTCTTTAATCGCTAAGAAAAGTCAACAAAAGCTCCACCCCAGGGTAGAGAATGTGGAGCCTGTCCTGTTTTGTTTCAATTATACATTTCTCGTGCAGTTTCACTAAAATTATATAAATACATTAAGAATAATTACATATACTGGTTTTAGTAACTTAAAATATTATCAATTAACCAAAATTAAAGTCTCAGCAGAATTACTAGTGATTGATAGTAATATGAAAAAATATACTTAATGATAGCTTGAATAACGTATTAGGAACTTTTTACTAATTCAAACATATCCTGTCTAAGTTTTTAAGTACACACAAATAATTACTTTCTATATTATTAAGCATCATTTTTGAAATGGTTAAAACCTTTATAAATATTAAAAATATATTAAAATACTCAACGATCAACGTTGTATAATATACAATTAAAATTTGAAGCACAGTAAAAATAATTTATCCTTAAATAAGGATGGAGGGTTAGAAAATCAGAAAATAAGCAGATAGCCTGATCGTTTTTAAAATGTAAAGTTATAGTCACATCGCCATGTATTTATATATTGCACAGTATTTATCACACTTCTGAGGTTTGTTTGTTTGTAGTTAAGCACAAAGCTACACAATGGGCTGTCTGTACTCTGCCCACCACGAGTATCGAAACCCCAATTCTAGCGTTGTAAATCCGCAGACATACCGCTGTACCTTTTTGACGACCGTTGATCGGTTTTTAAGTCAAATTATAATTGTGCATTATACAACTTTGATCGTTTAGTATTTCATATATCAATTTTAAATATTGTATTATATTAATATGCTTTTATATATTGTTTGAGTAAATATAGTGTCTAAGTTTCAAAATTAGTTGTTGGTCTTTTTATTTTACCGCAAAGTTAAACTCTGTCTGCGCGGGGAATCAAACGCTGGATTTTAGTACTGTGACTCCGTAATTTTAATGCTGACCTACCAGATGACTTTGAAATTTGAAAAAAAAAAAAATGACGAAATAAAATATGAAGTTTCGCATTTCAAAATTATAGCTTCGCCAATAGATGGAGCCACGAAGCTAAACAATGGTTGTCTGCACTTGTAAATAATTTTTAACTAAAGACTAGAGAGAAGGCACCTAGTCAATAATACTCATCGCTAACCGTTATAATACATTCACAGCTACAAAGTTTTAAACGCGATTTCGCGAAAGTACGAACCATTAGTTCTCAGATTAACAGTCTGAGACACATGGCCCTGACAAGGGAAGAAAGAATTGTTGTACAATTAGTAGAACAATTTCCTTATAATATATTATAACATTTGCCGTTTTTCACCCTAAACAGCCAAGGAGGGAGGAAGATGATTTTAATAAACCTGATCCTACCGATCGCCACTAGTAGCGAACAAATTCCGATCATGCGGACAGTCTGGGACGTTAACTGTGGGGCCACATACACACACATGGTTAAGTCTTATCTCAAATATTTAAATCTAGAAATCAAAATGAGTTATTTGTGATTTATGTTTACAAATGAATATAATTGTGAAATGTGTTATTTCTAAGTATATAGTTTTACTGACATTTCAAATAATTTATTAACTTTTTTCAAGACGCAAATTTTAGAAGAAATCACTATTAATTATTTGTTCTCATCTAGTTACATTTAAGTATATTTTGTTTAAACAAACAAATTTTACATCTAAATATTTAACTCTTATTAAATATATCGAAGAAATTTCAAACTGTTCGGCCAGTGATTTCCATTATGTTATTTATGTGAAGTTATCTCTTACATTATTGGTGGGTGAACGCTTTTACATCTTATTCACTCGCTATCCAGTTTTGTATGTTTGGAAGAAATGGGTGGTCTCATTTCTCCCATTTTATCTCTTTCACTTCTTTTGTCACTTTTATTCGTTTTCCTGTTAAAATTTATGATATTAATCTTCAGTTTGTTAGGTTTTACTTTGTTTCTTTCGTCTTATCTATTTTTTCACACAACACATTAATGCTATTTTTATCTCTACGTTTCTTTCGATTGTTCCTTTATCTGATTGATTTTTTTTTAACTTCCATTACATAGCCGTGTAACCATATATTACGAGTCGTGGTTCATGGTAAATTTTCGACCACTCGACGACAGTTTCTTAGATACGTTTATAGCTATAGGATTATGTTAGCGTTTTCGAGGAAGGAATTCGCACAAAGAGGCTACAAAACGATCTAAAGCTAAATGACACAACATTTTAAAAAAGAAACCTTCGATACTCTCCAAGAAAATAGAAAAGCTAGCAGAGCTATGAATTGAGAATAGCAATTGAGTGTTAATTCGAATCAACGACTTTTCTTTTTGGAAACGTAAACGTAAAATGATAATCATCTGACCCCAAATATAAAGCTTTAAGTTAATGCTGTATTTGGCTCGTGGTGTAATTAAAAATGTATTAAATAGGGATTTAAAGTTCATGAAGGCTCACTATCCAGAATTTCGCAAGTTTCTAGCACATTCCAAAACTAATGACTATTTTCCTGAGAAATATGGCCGAAGGACTTGGGAGTGAAAATCCATAAAATCTATTTGGTCACAACCTTCAAGATCGTTCTACCATGTAGCTGCAATGGACTTTTTGGTTTAAGGTGTCGTTAAATGTGATTTTAGAAGCCATTGTCCATATACAATTGCAATTTTATTGTATGATTGTCAAGATGTATGGTTTAAAATTAACCTCGACACCTTCTACAGATTTTTTTTTTTTTACAATGAAAAGTGTGGTGTTAGTAATTTTGCTTAGTAATGTCCATCAGACTGCGATTGATGATAGAGGAAGTAGATCCAAGACTGGAACACCATTCTTATAAACATTGAATATCCTCTATATTATTTACTTACTTAAACCTTTTCATTCACTTCTTCCATTACTTCTCCTCTTATAAATCAGTTTTTGAGTTAGTCCTAGTAATACAAACATAATGATACAGAGATAAACATATTTCAGCACCATCAGTTCTAAGGATTTTAATGAAGAATAATGCTTCGTATTTTAAATTTAAATTTCTAATGTTTTGTGTTTTATTTTTCACATTATTACATGATTCTTAGAACCCCCTCTTATCAATATTCTATTTGTTTATTTTATTCTTGTACTTCTCCCCATAATGCCAAGATTGATATTTTAAACACCTCGTTTTATATTTCAATTAAAATGCCTGAAATTTCAAATTTGTTTTTCTTTCTAATCATTTTTTAAATATTTTCGTTAATATTGAAAACAAGAAGATTATTAAATTTTTTTTGGAAAATTTAATAAATAAGATGTTCAAATGCCTTAGGAAAATACTCATTTTTGAAAAATTAACGTAAGCTTATAAGCTCTATCGTGTAAGGATGTATCAAATAAGCTGTGAGTTGTAAACATTACATCATAACTTATTTGGAAATACAAAGTTCTATAAATATTCCAACAAACAATTTTGTAAGTGAAAAGAACTTCCCGCATTAGGGCTTAAACACTGTACCTTTGTCTAACAGAGACAATGCTCTATCGAACTGAGTTATCCAACATTTCAATCTATCCTCCTTCACTCATAAGACACCTTTTAACTATGAGTATGAATCTTCATTATAAGTTTACGTAGACTCGTATATATATATATATCTATTGTAAATAATATGCTTGCGTGTGTCTCTCTGGAACTCTTCTTGCACATTTCTCGATCAAACGCTA